CATCATACAACTTCAACGACTCTGCTCGTGTTTTCCGCAATACGCGTAGTACTCACATGTATTTCTACAAAGTAGAAACAATAGAGCCGTTTCTCCACTGTAGGCTGCTGCCACTGCCCTGCCTTTTTCCTCAGGACCTCATGTTAGCTGTATCGGACTGGGAGTTCTCCCTCTGGTATATTGGAGGTTCCGCACCGTCTCTTACTCGTCCTAGAAGGGCGAACATGGATGAGGAGGAAGAGGAGGGGGACGAAGTGGAGACAGCGAGGCCTGTCAAGTCCCTGGCTGACAGAATACGCGAGCCTATATTCCGGAGTGCGGCACCAAGCAACTACTTTGCGTGCGGAGCTTGCTCCCCGTCACGGCCCGCGGTAGGGCGGAGGTGAACACTGGTTGCTCATATGACTTCGTAGAGGGATCATGGGAAAATTCAAAGTGAAGTATTGGAAGAATTGAAATGACGAACGCTTGGGTCTAGTATACACTTCGTAAACTGTGATTATAGACTGGCGGGCTTATGCCATACGCGGAACATTGATATCAAATGCCACTACTATCAACTTGACGGTTAATGTGCTTCGTTGGACAGGTGCTTTACTTGGGCAGAGTCGATGGTAGTGTGGACGTCTGGGACTTCACCGACCAGAGTCATCAACCTTTGATGTCCTTTCCGGTCACTGCGGCTGGTCTTACATCTATGACCTTCTGTCCAGAGGTAGACACTACGATATCACTCGTGATTCTATGGAGAGTGGGCACGAGTGTTCTTAGGGGAAGTCACTCATGGCCGTGGGAGACGACCATGGGCATCTCCACGTGCTCAAGTTGCCTGTTAATCTTGTGTGGGGCCCCGATAGGGAGGAAGAGGTATGTGTTCTCTCTGAGGACGGTCGGTGGCACTATGGAGGTTTGGTTCTGTCCCTAATCATTCTCGCAGATCGTTCGGCAAATCCTGGATCACGCCTATCACAACCTTGATGGAGTACCCGAGAGGAAGACGATGCTCGAGGCTCTCAAGCAACAGAATGAAAAAGTATCTACGACGATTGACCTCTGAGAAGTTGAGGACGTCACTGCAATAATCTCAGGACACAACTACAAGTGTTGAGGAGACAGTGGTGCTGACAGACTCGATGGTTGACGAGGAGTACAAGAAAACACTGGCAGAATTCTGTGAAGCGGCTGGAATACCGCAGGCGTCTTCCTCTGAAGCTCCTCCCATGTGAACGTGATGATTCATGCCTCTTTGTACTCCGTCTTATCTTCGGTTGCGTTCTGGAGTGGTACTGATCTAGTATTCCGTAAACGGCGAAGAAGCGGTCGCAAAGATGATCAGAGTCGTCATCAATGATCAGCATATGATATGATTACGGGAAGGATTGTCATGGGATCCATCGGCGCATCGATCACTCTGTCACCAAAATCAACACTCTGACTCAGTGTCACTAAATGAATCGGCGATTCGGCCTGAGACATGCGAATACCTTTTAGTTTTATTGACCAGTTATTTTGTGGACAAGATCAACACACTGGCGCTTAGAGGTGAGATATGTGAATACCTATTTCACGGCACCATTGTGTGCTCTGTTGTGACCTCTTATCAGAATGCATTTTTCCTCCGAAGTTGGTGGGGTATGGACAATATTATACAGTACTGTTATATCATAATGTGTGAATCAATTTTAATGGTATTTCCCTCTGGAGTCCATGTGCAGAATCTTGTGGAATGGTCCCTATGCGTCGATATGCATCCAACCAATGGCGTCTATCCCTGATTCCATAACTCAAGCTTTAGTCGAAGTAATTCAGAGAATATGTGCTGATGTGACGATGGGCGTAGAATACTGAATTCGATTCTATCATTGGGAGCTTAATCCAACTCGCGGTATAGATATCTATCTCGGAACGGCATGCAACAACAGAACCCCTCAGCTAATCTCCGGTGTCGCGACCTATAAGCATCACACTGATAATAACCGAAAACTACTTTCGTAGGAAACTTCATGGTACAGAGAGGGATACGTTTTTCAGTGAGTTATGTTCCTTCGAAATACTTTAGCCCATTGTTATCACCAATGAGGAAGTGATTAGATATGAGCGGTCCTGGCGAGTTGGTAGCATTTTTATCTCCAAGAATTGGGCCTGCGTCACCGTAGGTCACTGATCGTACTCGGACGAATCCGGCGATATTGCCGATGCCCAAGGTGAATTGATCATCGCCGATGGCGACTTCATCGGGGATGACCTGGCTACTCGTCATAGACGTACTAGATTGGTAGTGAGCCACTGTATTCTCGCGGTCGGCACTTCACCACCCGACTTGGGCAAAGAGAACCCTTCCGCCTTCGGTTGAAGGTGCGGTGTCATGTTACCCTTCAGAAATGGATCGCTGGGCTGCACAGTGTAAATCTGCATCATCGAAACTACCACCCGAAATTGATGTCCTTATCTTCGAGATAGATTTCCGGGATGTTTACTTGTTACGCGCCCGCATCTACCCTTCTCGGCCATCTTCCAATCTCTCTCGGCAACGCAAGCACGGTGAAGTATCAAGGTGAGCATACAGCTATCTATCTTCCCAGGTATAGAGGGACAAACTTTATGTGGAAGTACTCGTTGCAATGCACTCCTTGGCTAACCCCCGCAAAATTCAACGCCAATAGAAGCAACAATCAAAGCAATTTTCATTAAAAAATAGAGAAGTATCAGCAGCCAGAATTCGAGCTACTGCGCTGAGCATATCACGCTCGTTTCGCTGATTGACGGGGCCATAGGGCGTACCTTGAGGGAACGTTGGAGGTCTCGAACTGCTGGAGGCAGCCACTCACATGTCCATGCCACAGGTGACCACTCCCAAGGCTCCGACGAATGAGTCGTGAGTTTCAAACCAGCCTGAAATCAGGTATAATACTCCTATCAGAAGGATTTCTCTTACCGCTATTGTGGAGCCCCTGAACAGCCAGTAAGAGACTCTTCACGGCCAACTGTAGTTGGGCCGACTCGATGGAGGGATCATGACCAGCCTGGCCCTGGAGGGCAACCTAAGGAGGGGAGTGCCACGGGACTATCGGGATGATGTTCTTCCCTACTTGTTCGCGATACTTCTTATAGGCGATGGCGAAGTTCGTGAGCTGCATCAATGTAAAGAACTTCATACACATTTTAAGGGTATCAACGGGCTTGCTATCACGTCTGATCTGAAATAGGGAATACGGGAGAAGGAAAGCGATGGGGAGCTTCTCACAAGGCCGAGCTTTTGGAGCCAGAGGACACGATCAGTGAGGAGGAAGGCGAGCAGTAGACTCTTGCTGGCCACTCCGAGAGCCCTGTCGACCTCTGACTTCTTATTAAACTCATTAGGAATAGTAGGGATCACGGCCAGTTCCTTAAACCACCTGTAAGGTCATGTTCAAGGAGGAGTGGTATGATACCTGCTGTTACCTAAAAGTTCGTCTACTATCACCGAGCAAGCCTTGAACCATCTTGATCTGTCTGTAGAGCTCCTTGGTACTTGGATCGGTCGACTCCAGAAGAATACCACTCCACATGCGGGCGAAGTATCTTCATAGAGAGGTTCAAGACAACAGTAGAGCCAACAGTAGGAATCTCGTCGTACTGAGCGCCTCTCAAGAGTTTGTCCTTGACCTCCATTCTGGCTAGTTGACCATTGACCACGGCCAAGGAGACCGGGACCAGGTCCATCTCGGAACCATCTTGGGACATTGATAGAAGTTAATCAACTCTCCTACGGGTGGCCTCAGTAAGCCTACACGTCCCGAATAAATAAACCCTCGAAGTGAGAGTTTTAATAGGTGACGGTATGTTGAATAAACCCTTGTTGAGATTCACAACGATCGGATTTTACATGCAGAACTCAGTCCAGGAAGCGCTCTTGAAACTCAGGAGTTCATTGAATGTTCATTGAATGAGTTGTGGGTCAATTCAGAATCGATTCTAGCATCGTATTATATGTGTAAGGAGCAATTCAGGAAACGCTTCTGAGTTTCGAAATCGGTTTGTTGAGCGACACCGGGGTCTATAGACCACGCCATGAATTTCGGCAGAAGCTGCTGCTGATCTATCTCAAATGAATCTTGCACATCTTGTTAAATCTTGCTATTCCTCAACGTAGAATGCACCACCACGGTAGATCATAGATCGTCGTCGTCAGTTGTTGAATTGAGTGTATGTATAAGGGGTCCAAGGTTGGTGGTGGTAAGTCCAGCACTGCTGGGGCTACTACTACTACTCCGGCACCTATCGGGCTCACTGATGAGATACTCTCTAATATGGCTGTTGGTAAGGTCTTTAAGGATGCCACTAAGAGGGTAGTAGGTCTAGACAGGATCGTATGGTCCATAGAGGGTGTGTGTATTCAGGTCAATAGTATTGACTTTACATCTGATGGGAGGTACCTTATAGCAAGTAGTGATGATGAAAGTGTTAGTATATATGACACAGAAAAGGGTAAGGCCCACTAGGACGACGACTAGGGTTCTTCTACCTGAGGTCCTCCATGCAGGTGTTCGCCACAAGTTACTCTACTCCAGAAAATACGGCTGCGATAATATACAGTTTGTTCATAGTGGCACTAACTCGGCGCTCTGTTCGAGTCGGGTTGATTTCGATCGTAATAGTCGGGATGCCCGTTAAAGGAATGTAGTCGCAGTGTGGATACTCCCGTTTGGAATCTGTTGGATCTGAGATCATAGTGATGGCCCCTTCAAGGCTCCTGATCGAACTATGAGTAACTGTTGTTGCTGTTACTTGCAGATTCGTTGAGATATTGGGATCTATATGAAAACAAGTTCTTGCGGTATTTCAAAGGGCATACAGGGCCAGTGTCCTCTCTGAAGGTCCATCCGTAATAATAGCAGGCTCGTAGTGTGCATCGTAAAGTGAGGATATCATTATGAAAGGTACGAGGATCAATTCTTGTCAACATCTTTGAGTACAGCTAGTGGTGGTGATTCGACTTGTCTTATGTGGGACCTAAGAAAGGAAAGACCAGTGGCTCGGGTCTATAGTCAGGAACAAGTCACTAAGGGTAATACTTGGGGGCTTATCGGTGTGCATGGTCGTTGGCCCAGTGGTGGAGTAGGAATATATATTCGCTTCCCTCAAGAGTTTCCGCACTCAGTATAGGAGTTTAGATATGAATAACGGCAGAAGTGCTCAGAAACCAACAAGAACTTCCTCGAAATTTTTTCGTCGTCAACGTGTTCGTCATGTTCTTGTATTGCTACATGGCGCTGACCTATGTCACTGGGTCTTGCGAAATAAAAATATTGCCAAAAGGTCACTGGGTCTTATGAGGGGAACTACTCTCGAACGAATTTGAAAGTTCACTCTGGCGAACTGCACGGACAGTCGTTGTTGTCATTGCATCAGGTACCTCGAGTGGCATTCTCGGTGGTCCCTGTGCGACCTATGATACTCAAGGCTTGGTCTTTGCTGTATCGAGTTCTACACCAACAGGGGATGCTGGCAAGAAGCCCATCGCTAAAGTGCATATGTTTGACAATCGCCAATTCGATAGGGTAGTAGTAGTGATGGTCGGGTAGTTGCTCTTCACGTACTTTAGTTTTAAGGAATGGCAATTTGTTGGGTATTTCTTTATGGGGTTTCTATTCGTGGTATTTCAGGGGGAGTTTGAGGCATTCGACTTGTCGCCATTTACGCAAGGAAGCCCTTTGAGGTCGATGCTATTCTCACTTGTGGAAAGTACGTTATTGTTTGCATCGCTCCGCTAAGATTTGATTTCCGTTCAGATACCTTTTATGTTCGACAGCTGCGGGAGACCTGTTCGCCATAGACTCTTTTTCTGGGCGCTTGAGAGCGACTTATAAATTTGACGATCCCCACTTGCAGTCGGGGTCACAGACGTGGAAGAGCTTGCCAGAGCGGGATGGGCTCAGGCCGACATTTTCGCCGGACGCGCGGTATGAAAATATTAGAAATATTTCGGTTCACTGTGATTCAGTTACGTTCTCTGTGGAGTGCCTGGTGGTAGTATTTATGTATGGCCGACTCTCACCAAAGGGGCACAGGAACAGGCCATGAGTGAGGACCCTGTTAATGTGCAAGCCTGCGAGCCCAAGCCGGTGGCTATCCTAAAGGGCCATTCTGGATACCCTAGATGCGTTAAGTTCTCTCCGACGAGGTCGTTGATAGCATCGGCAGCTGCCGCAGTGGCGTTGTGGATACCCAAACAGTTCACGGCACCTATTGGGACGCAGACGGATCCGGTGGCGATAGCCAAGCAACAGGTGAGTGGAGAAATGCGGCTGCCGGGGATCGAACCGGGGACCTCAGGTTACTCTTGGTTACTGAGTGCAATCGTCGATGGAGTACGGTGTTCTTCCTTGTTGTTACCATTTCTTCTACTACGAATATCCCGACGTGAGAATGAGCTGTTGGGTTACAGTCTTCTGGTATATTAGCATCAGGGCGTGTTAGAAGTAGTGTTGGTTGCTGCACGCATGCACAAGGTCATATCTTTTCAGTGTAGTTTACCCATTTCCCGTAGCAATGCCGTACTCTGTTCTGGTAGCAGGTACGCCAGGTGTTGGGAAATCAACGTTTTCTAAGGAGTTGGGGTCTGCGATAGGATCATGTCGGGTTATAGAGCTTGGCAAGACTAGTACTTAATCTGAATCTTACCAAGTCTAACCTAAGATTCTTTTCCTTTAGTTGCAGCAGAGCATTTGTACAGCGAGTGGGATGATGACCATAACTGTAGCATATTCGATGAGGATGCTGTTGAGCAGCATCTCGAGAGCCTCGGAGTTTTCGGAAAGGAAAATGTCGTTATCGATTTTCACTCTCCGGATTTCCTCCCGCCTGAGTGGTAATAGTAGGGTGTAGCAGTGATGTGAATAAAACTAAATTGTAGAGGTACATAGTGCAAATGTGCATCATTGGAATGGCAGCTCGAAATTAATGTCGTATCTGCGTTACTCGCAGAATTCAACAGTGAGCTAGGTTTTTCGAAGGTATTCAAAACAGCTCGGCTGGAGCGCCTTGTGCGATGGCGAGAATGAGTTTACTATAGGAGAATGTTCTATCGTTTGGGAAGGAGGGTTGTAGTACTCAAATCCAGCTGGAAATTGACTATGACGTTTCAGGGAAATCAGCATTGATTATGATATTAATCTGGTGTCCATTTTTCGTGTAACATCGCCTGAGGAACATATTTTCTGTGTTTTCTCATCGATTTTTCACCGAGTTACGTGCAGTGGTTTTTAAGGTAGAGTTGGTTACTGTGATGGTATGGCTGCTCAGGTTCGACTTGGTAGTGGTCCTAAGGTGCTCTACGGATGCTCTTTGGTCACGCCTGGAGCAACGTCATTATACGGAGGCGAAGATAAAGGAGAATGTTGAATGTGAAATATTCCAGACGGTATGCTAGAGTCTAGCAGCTAGACTCCTCCCGGGTTCGATCCTCGGTGAGGGCATATTTTTATCGTTGTAGATACTTGATGACTGTCGGGAGCACTTTGGGGAGGAGAAAGTGTTGGAATTACAGAGCGTGTCTATAGACGATATTGCCACTAACGTACAGAGCGTCCTGGCTAAGCTCGCCTCCACTGCTAATAGTGTCCATTGAAAGCCCCTCCCTCTTTTCCTGGTCGTTACCTATCCCTGTTCCTTTGCTTGCTGTATACGTAGCTTCTATCGAGCTTGCTGTTGAGTCACGAACACGTCGAAGACACAGCGTTGTGATGATGATCCTGTTGGAGTGTGCATATCTAGTCGCCGTCTTTAGGGCTTCCAGAATTAGGTTGGTGTATTTCACTTCGTACTGTTACTTACATACTCATTACTCAGTAGAAGTACTGAATTTACTCTGATGTTGGGGAGCTTGCCGACATTGGGAATTATGTCGGCATGGTGGTCTTGGTAGCTGTCGTTGTGCTTCGTGTTACTACTTCCGTCCTTGTTTGAGGATACCATGGCAGCTGTGCTGGAAGCCCCTTCAAAAGGCAGATCCCTATGGAGGAGGATCGTTGCTAGTGTGAAGAGATTCAATCGATCTCGAATAGATTATGCTCGTCTTGCTTGGCCCGTCGAGTGGGATATATTCAAGAAGGGCGCCTGGTGAGTGTGATATCTGTCTTTGCTATTGTAGGCACTGTGGATCGTGTCTTCTCCCCTGGTATGGTCGTTGAACTTTGTCCACGGTTTCAGCTGAGCTCCACGCCCAACTCGCATCGCAACACCCACTGCTGTTGAGCGATTGAGCATGATCTGACTTCAATAAATGTTCAATCTATTGGACACGGTCAGAGGAGGAACCATGCAGGGCACAGTTAAGCGCCCGCTCTCTGCTCCTCTTCATACGAACAGTAGGTATAGCGTGGATTCGTCCATGACAGACGCTATTGACGGCATCATTAGAGAACCTTCTTCTCTATATTCAGAAACTTCTATGGGAGCATTGCTACACTCGAAGACGTAATTCTTCAATTCATTGATTTCGGACACCTCGTGGTGGATTTGCACCATTACTACGACTGTGCCCGGCGTGCTTGAGGATATCTATACGATTGTCTATTAATTTGACGACGCACATTCTAACTACTACCAGTTCATGTGCTTTCTTGAACTCCGTTTCTGATGATGGACCAAGTCCATGTTTGTCAATCAGTGAGAGTTGGCTCGTCGAATCAAGGAAGGCCCTCTCATCGGATCTCCGGTCGCTATGCTCAAATATATGTAACATCTTGGGCCCACGTTCGATAGGATTCTTACTGAGACCGATCGTCGACTCAGCCAATCAGTTATGAGAATTGCCCTTCCGAATATCAACACTCAGTCTGTGGGCTTCCGCCCGATTCATCCTATGATCTGCAATGCCCGGTGAAGGAAGCCACGACGGTCCCTCCTCTAAAGTGATGAAGAACCTCACTGACACATCGCGAGCAGCGGTAACACTAGAAG